GAAAAGTTGGTGTTTTCAATAGGAGGAGCATCTGAAAGCTCTTACTTCTGCAATGCTATTTTTACAACTGCTGTTGCAAATGAGAATAGTCAGACTCTTAGAATTCAATTAGTGTATGTTTGTCTCCTGCATGGCGATATATAATCTGTATTTATAACAATGCTGTGTGGCAGAGATAGCTCTGACAAGTTTAAATTACGCAATAATAAACACATTACAGAACCTTTTTTGATTATGCCATTGCTGGATGATTGCATCCAGTGCCCATTTAGGAGGGCTTTGTGTATTTGACTTTCTGAAGAAGCTGTTCAAAAAACATGACCTGTAAACAGGGAGGAAAAACTTGGTGTTGCTTCTCCGAAGTCAGTCCAGGTGCATGAAGCAAAGACTTTTAATACAAACTTCCAGTGTCAGCTTTTGAAATCCTTGGAAAAGGTGATGTAATGTATCAGAGATTATAGTTCCTTTTTTTCTCTTGCATTTTTTGTCTCTTATCGAAAAAGCAATTTGTCAGTTCTTTAGTAAACAGTTCCATGTAAAGTACTCCCTCTACCTAGGCTAGGATCTGAGTGCAAAGAGAAAGTTTAACAAGTACAGAGCTGTAGCATTATGTCTTGATTATTTTCAACAGCGTAATTTAAGAAGCTTAGCGATGACCCCAAGCTCGTGTAGTTGAGGCTGCTGTAGTCTTTGAATTGCTGGGAGACACAGCTCCTTAGTCATTATCTGAACAAATTTCAAGTTTTAAAAAAAAAAAAAGATGTATTTCAGGTGAAAAAGGTAAAAACTGCTTATTGTCAAAGGTGGCAGTTGTCTACAACAGCTGACAATGCAAACATGGGCTGACAAATTATCACTAATGGCAGAAAAAACTGCTTTAGAAATGTCAAGATTTTTCCTGATATAAAATTAGTACATTCTGAAGAATCAAAATAACTAGAGCTTGAGATGGAATCACTCTGACAGATGGCACAATTATTTTTTCTTTATATTGGAACTACAATTCCCTGTTAATAACATATTCTCGACTGACCCTCTGCACTGAGATGGTGCCTACCTCTAGGAGGAACCAGTTAAGTGATGCCTCCTCCAAAGGCATCATCTCATCTTGCAGTACTTAGATGTCATCAACACCAATCAGATTTGAGTTTCCATAACTGATCAGTGCATGGAAGCTACTTTCCCGATCAGTTTGTCCAGCTTTAAGTTTTGCTCGTCACAAGTTCATTAGTTCAGCTAGTAGAAACGGCTGTGTCTGTACACTTCTTGCTAATGCTCGGTGCATTTGTCGCTGCGGTAAATTTAAGCCCGTTCATCTACACATCAGCAGCTGCTTTGGGTCCGTCCTGCCTTTCGGGGTACACGAAGCCATTGCTGGGAGATGGCTGTATACTCTGAACTGTGAGAGCCTTGATACTGCATCAAAAAGATGCTTTTAAATTGGTCTGTCAGTGCTGCAAGAGGTACCTCTGAACCACGTCGGTCTAATTTCTCTAGTCTCTCTTCATTCCCTATGTATTTTTAACTTTTTTCCAAGAGGCTGCTCGTTATGGCTGATTACATTATTTGTAATTTTTTTTTTGTCTCCTTTGATGCCTGTGCCAGTAGTGCTTATGTAAAGGGGCTTGATGATACTGAGTGGTAAGAATGAACAAATGCAGCGGGAATTCAATTGCTATTTTGCACTCAAGCACAAGTGTTCTTTCTAAATCAAGTCTGACCACTTGCTATGTCAGTCAGCTACGTTGTTGGAGACACGGAGAAATGATTTCATTTACGTTTGATTTAAGGGAAATTTTTGTTTGCTTGAGGTGCTTTATTTTATTTGGAGGTTTTAGAAATGTATGATTTCCAAGTGCCCTGCATGCTTTAAAAGAAATTCGGCTGTAGTTGATCTTCATCTCAGCTGCAAAATCCTATGTATTATGTGTACCTGTCAAATAAGTGGCCAGCAGTACCCTATCCTCTCTACAGACAGAGAGTTTGAAGTTATTTGTCAAATATCACACAGGAGTTATTGATGATGGGTTCTTTCAGGTACTTTTAAAATTAAATTTCTTCATCATACAACCATGCACCTCAGCTGGTACATGCAATTTTAGAATTCATGCTATAGAGCATCTGACAATTAATGACAATTTAAAATACCTCCCTGTAATGTCACTTACAACTTGATTAATTAGTTGACCCAGCTCTTCTTAAATTTCGGGTTTTAAGAGGTTTGTGAGTGTTCTCCAATAGTTTGACAGAGCCTTCCCAGGGATGCAGTAAATGCTGGATTGCTGTGAATTTAGGGCCATGTCCTGCAGCGCTCTAAAGTCATCTCCGCTGCTACCACATCCCTGTTTCCCTCTGATGTTCAGCAAATAGTTTGCTGGGAAGTTTGTGTGCTAATCTGGCAGAGAAACTAATCCACCAAAGCGAATAGCTTTCTTTTGGACAAGCATGCTGAAATGAAGTGTTGAGATTTGGAGACGCAGCAGTAGGATGGGATGTGGCAGCCAACAGTTGGATTGTCTTAAACAGCCAAAGACCCTCAGTCAGGGAAGCACACACGCTTCTTTCATAAAGGTTGGCAGTCCCAGTCGGGCAATTTCTAAAGAAGAATTGCCATCAGTGAGGTATTCAGAAGAAAAATGACTGTTCAAAAATGACTGTGCAAAAAAGCAAAATTTCATCGTACCATGGCGGGGACACTCAATTATAAACTTCTTTGCCTCTCTGTATTCAGACAGAGTGGGGTTTCTGTGCGCTTGATTCATCACACTTGGCTTGAGAGAGAGCACAACATCTCCAGATATCGGAGAGGCTGATTCTGTAGTGCTTCAATGTCGCTTTTATTCAGCCCCTACTCAATAGAGCTTTGTGGTGTTCTCACTCCTAGAGATTGTAACTGCTGCTGCGGAGGCAGAAACGATGTGGAAATATGGACCATAAAAAATATTGGCAAACTGGTGTTTCTCAAAAATATGACCTGTGCTTAAAACAACAGCAAAATCTTTATTTGACTTTTAAATCATGGCATCTTACTGTCTTTTGATTTTTTTAATTTTTTTTTTTTTTTTGAGCCTCTAAACAAAAGCATAATATACTACAGCTCGCTGTGAACTAGGGATTTAAGACACGGCAAATCTACAGGAAAAAACCCCTGTGTTCAAAATAAAATCCCTTTCTGTTAGGGCGTTATAGAGAGTACAGCTGTTTGGTGGTAGTGCTGTGCAGGGGAGCTGAGCTGGAGGCTGTCGCACGTGGGGTAAGAGAGAGGAGGGAGAGAAGAGCCTTGGCTAAGCTGGTTGCAAGCTGCACGAAATGCAATGAGCTGAAGACTTGCTGCAACTCCACTTCTTCATGTGTAGGTCTTGTCTACGAAGAGTAGTGGAAGAGAAAGTTGAGGAGTAGGACACTAATATTCCTGAGAGCTGGCAGAGTTTTCTATGTCGTGTTGACGTGGCATAGTCTTTCTCTCAACTTCAGTTTGTTTTCATCCAAATGTATGCCATTGCATCTGTTTACTTGGTGGTTCAGTGTTGAAAACCTACCTCGCTTCTTGACAGCGCATGGCTTTATATCTTTTGTAACTTGGTTTGGAACTGGAGAGAGGAAGAGGCTGTGCACTTTGTGATGGAAACTTGCTTTTTGGTTCCAAAATTAATAATGGGATTGATGAAAAACACCATGCAAGTATGTTGGCATGTGGTTGACGGTTTGTGGGACAGTAATGTATTCTGTGTGGGAACATCTGTCGTGAGGGAATGGTTTGGGGAGGGGGAGAAGCACGGATACTGCTTCAAAATGACTTGTATACAAATGCATAGGATAGTTTAATTAAAGGGAGAGTGGAATTTCCCCAGCTTATGGAGAAATCTGGTTCACTGGTGTTACTGAGCATCTGCTGGCTTGTGATGGTGCTTTTACAGCGCATTTGCTGAGGGGTTTTGCAGGTTGCTCTGTCTCTGAAAGGACAGTACTTGGTGTTCATCTCGGTTCACTTTGTGCTATTTTTACAGCTTTCTGTGTTCAAATGGCTCAGAATAACATGCTTGTCATTCACCTGTCAACGAAGAAATGTAACTTACTTCAGACTTCCTTCCCCTGAGAGTAGCTCCGATAGGAGGAATATCTTCAATTACCAAAAATTTCTGTGCTGTCCCCTTCCTGTGTGCTCTTAAAAGGCAGGTGTTTCCAAAACGTCCTCTGTTTCAAGGTGACCTAGTTAAGGATGCTGCTGTGCAGCAGGTCAAGATTTTTGGAATAAAGTTTTAGCATCACAATATGCTAATCACATTTTGGAGAACTGTGGATGGATCTTCATGATCACCTGTACCAGCAAATGGTTTTATTTGATGAATCGTGCCATAAATGGAGGGCTGAAGGAGCACGTGCCCGGTACTGCAGTCTTTGACTAGATAAGTACCTCTGGTAGTTTAAGCCAATGCATTCAAATACCTGTATCCTGTCGCAGAGGTGCGTTCTGTGCAACACCAGTGAAACAGCTTGAGCTTTGCCATACCACTGCACCGCTTGCGTAGGTGAATTGCTTGATGAGCCTCCGAGTTCTTTTGCATTGACGTGCACTAGGATATAGAAATATTTCAAGAAAAAGGGAGCATCCCTACACTTATGGACGTGAGACAACTTAATCCTCGGATGCATGGGAGTTGCATTGTTTTTATTAACTGTGATTGATGCTGTCTCACTCCAGTGGGAGCGGGCTTTGTAACTTCAAGTGCTGCCAATGATGGTCTTGTACCTTTTACTGGAGATCTGTCTGTCCTGTTTGAATGACTATGGCCTTATGATCTGATGTGTTACGATTTTATTGCTAGAAAAGGAACAGATGTCATTAGTGGTTTCAAAATTGGTTAGAACCAAACGAATGAGGATGCTTTGTATTTCATGATGGGTTACTGGTCACTGGGTGTGTGTAAAAAGCTTCCTGCAGAGGGAAATAAAACCCAATTCTAACAGTTGTGTTTTCTTTTCTCCCACTTCTGACACAGGTTGCCAACTTGGCCTGTTCCATCTCAAACAACGAAGAAGGTGTGAAATTGGTTCGCATGTCAGCCAGCCAGCTTGAAGCCCTGTGTCCCCAGGTAATAAAGAGCGTAAGAACATAAGATGTGCCCTAATAAGTTGGGCAACTGGTCCATGCTTAGCACATGTTCTGGCTGTCTACGGACTTGCTGCAGAACTTGACTTTTTCCTTAATATATGTAGAGAATGAAATGCAGCGTAGGCATCGAGACTTGGAAACTTTAAAATATATGACAAAGTAATCAGTAATACAAAGGGATCCTTTTTGCATAATTGTTCTAATTTCGTTTGGCTAGGGTGTTCTAGTAACCTGAGAGACAGTAAACTGAAGCTTCAGTTGTTTACTGTGCACGTTCATGTTGCAGGAAGATGTCTTGTGAAGACGCTACCACTGCTCCTGTGCATGCTGTAAGACGAATTACAGATACATTATTTTTTGCCTGATTAGGATATAAAGATGCCAAAAAAATCTTCTCAATAGAGTAGGATCAGAGGAAGCTCGCTGTGCAGGAAGAGTTTGAACCTGGCTGAGACTACCTTTTCATTAGTAACTTTTTAACGGAAACAAGGAAATTAAGTTTATATAAGCACTAGACTATCCTCTTCCATTTAACAGCCCTGATATTTTAAATGTCAACAACTAGATACTTGAATGAACTCCCGAAGACTACAGTGCACTGTCAATTCTTGTAATTTACATTTTTTTTTAAAGCAACAGGAAATTCAGATCTAAAGCATACGAGTAAGCTGTTGTTGGTCATGAGGAGCTAATGGAAAATACATACTCAAAAAAATGATCAAATGGCATTTTGTGAAAATAAGGCGTGTTATCTCAGGATTACTTGAATTTGTTCAGGTTTTCCCATATGTATTGGTCCTTTTAGAACCAGTCAAAAGGAAGAGAGATACGTACACCTGTACCCGCCTGTGACAGTGCTATTAAATAGGTGAATAAAATATTAAATGCATCTAGGAGGCCTTTTGGCATCCGGGGGTGGACTCCTGTGGCGCCCACTCCTGGATCAGACCCTGGGGCCCATGCATCAGCTGTATTGGCTGTGCAGCTTTTTGCCTCCCACGTCTGGGGCAAGTGGTACGTATAGCTTGTTAAAACCAAAGGTCAATTTTTACAGTTGGAACAAAGCATGTGGAAGAAAAAGCTTTTAAAAATGCATCTTATCTGGTATAAGGGCTTGCTCTTTTCTAAAGTAACCATCTAGGCTGGACGTATTTTTTTGTTGTTGTTATCTCCAAGAATATGGGTGTCTGATGCTCCAAACAAATGCTGATGGTTTTGAAAATAATAATCTTAAGAAAGTTAGGTTTTTTAAAATCTAAATGTTTCTAGTAGTTGTCCAAGCCCATGGGGGTGTTTTTCCCCTCCCCGTTGCTGAAATTGTGTGTATTTCAAACTCTTCTCTCTTTGCTTTTCCAGCAACTGCTTATTTAAATAAATCTACTCCTTCATAAAATAAACACCATGATAGTCAACATGAAATAAGGAATAAATTAGAGTCAATAGTCACCAAACTGTAGTCACATATACTGAAGTGCAGTTGTTAACCTTTGACTTCAGGGATTACGGATAATACATTTAACACTCATTGGAAGCTTTGATTATCTATAAATGAACAAGGGCTATAACTGATGGATTTGGGCTTTACAAAGGTCACATATCTGAACTTCCAAGCCTGCAGTGTAGATGTTCCACTGCACGGTCTTGCCTTAATTTCAGGGTTGTCACCAAGAGATTAGTAAATGACACTGTAGATGTTCATAGCAGTTGAAAGAGTGCTTTTATATTACATTACATGTTCTCTGGTTGATTCTTTAATGCACTGAGAGTATTTAAACATGTTGGGAATCCTGAGCGATAATTAGGGGCACTTGTCTAAACTGTTTTACAAATGGCATCTGTGTTTTCTCCTAACAATGAAGAAGTTTGTCTTGTGCCAGTCTAAGCGATGCAGCACACTTTCGTCCTCCTCAACTGCATTACTGAACGGTCCCCAAACTTTGATTATTCTGTATAATCTCTAAATGCTTCAAGATGTAAAGAACAGCATAGTGGGATTTTGCTTCCTTTTTTAGCCAATTATCTGTTTATTTTGCAGTTTATTCCTGATGAGATTCGCAGCTGCTTCTTGAATCCTTTTAGGTGGCTGTGCTGAACGAACATGTGAATTACGCATAAAATACAGATTTAATCCAACATTAGCTGCCCTTTTTTTTTTTTTTTTGCTTAGATGGTATTTTTCCAGGAAGATGCTGGATTCAGAATGAGTAGAGTCAATCAGTAATTACAATAGTCTCTGAAACTCAAGTGAATATATCAATATCACACAGAAATATGATGTATGAAATTTAATTCAAGGTATTGCTGTGGTTGAAAGGATGAATCTGAAATTTAATGCACTTGAGTCCCAGGTAATCTCCTAAATAGCTTCGCTGAGTAGAGGCCATTCTGGGAGCAGGGAACTCCTGGTTAAAGAATTATTTCTGCAGAAATCAATCTGTAGAGTTAATTATAAAAGCTGTATCTCAAATAGAGGAGTTATTCGGTCCCTTGCCATAACCAGCCTTTTTGAGCCGGCAGCAGGAGTGAGGAACATGCAACACTTCAAATTGGTTAGGGAAAACTTGGAAGTTTTGTTCGGTACAGGCAAGAAGTTAGTCATTGCCATTGTCACCTGCGGGTTCAGACGTTCTCAGGTTTGAAATTTAATTCTTTGAGGAAAAAGAAGGTGCAGGAAATCTTTCATCTGAGAAGTCTCTACAAAAGCAAGCAGTTAAATTTGTTTAGTGTGGCTGTGTTACTGGAAATCAGCTCTTCCTCAAGAGTAACATCATCCTTCCTGTTTGTGAGTCCCCAGCCAATTAACACAGAATTTAATGCAAAGTTGAAGACTTAATGTGATATTTAGAGCTCCCTTTTGATGGTGCAGAAGGAGCTCTCAGGGAGAGCTGTGCATGTTCCTTAGTAGCCAGCTGGGTGACTTGCATTTGTCTGGGTTTACAGGGGAGAAATAAGGCAGCATTAGGGGGTCACTGGTGTTTCTCTTCATGAAGCCTTGACTTATAAGCCTGCCTGAACTGGTTTGGGTTTTTTTTGAGGAATGCGTTGCTGAAAGTCTATATACCAAAGTGAAACTACTTTGTCCAGCATCTTGCAGGAGTTACCTGCAGTCTTACAGCTTCATGCCTTGCTAGGTGGGGGGGGTAACAGGCCAGTCTATGGTGGGTTAAGATGAAAGACCAGAAGTCCTCCATCACTACAGTTAAATGTTTAAAAAAAAAAAAAAAAAATGCTTAAGATGTCTTTCATAATAGAAATGGAAAAGTACCGCTGTGAAATGCTTCGAATAGTTGCCTGTGCTTCCATTTGCCTAGCAGAACGCTGGGGGAAGTTTTCTTTGCCTTCTTGCTAAACACAGAGCTTGCCAATGGTAAATTAGTGAAAGATTTTGTTTATCTCTGCTTGAAAACCTGGATCCTCACTCATAACTCCGGCTTCTGAGTTCTGTTTCCAAGAAGTACTTGCTTTGGGAGCCTGCAAAAGCTGTTTTGTAACGGCGTTTTGCATTAAAGATGTCTGAGAAGAGAGCTTAACCATAGGAGTGTTTCTGATCATACAAGCTGTAGGTGTTTAGAAAGCAACAGTGAAAATGCCCCAGTACAGCTCTTGAAAGGAAAAAAAAGCCTTTTGATGTGACAGTCTGCTGTCACTTGCAGCTGCTTTTACCAGCTATATGTTGACTTTCTTGTTCTTTAAAGCCTCCGTGAAGTTCATCTATAGATTTGTACCCAAATTGCAGTCAGGCTGAGAGTTTTAGAAAATAATTATGGATTCGAATTTCTATCAGGTTGAGCATTTGTTTCTGCCAGCAAGAGCTGGAGCCCATTGCCCTGGAGACTGATCATCTTCTGGGAAGTGGGTTGCAGGGGCAGGGTAGACCTGCACCTCCCTGGCATGGACACACAGGACCTGTTCTCCCATCTGTAAGGCAGGGCTCGCTCTCAGCCAGCGCTGGTTGCCTTTCTCAAATAGCTCATCCTCCTTAGAAACTTTGGGGAGGGCACCAGGCAGCGTCTCTGCCTGTCCTTTCCACGCTCCCTCCATGCCTACCTTAGCACCGACAGCGTGTTCGGCATAGCTCGCTGTCCCCTGCCCAGTCAAGTGAGTGTTGCCCATTAAACAGACTCTCCAGATAATTCTTGGATTAAATTACATTTTTATAAAAATAAATTGGCTCTCCTCATATTAACATCTTGTTTTAATAATTGCTGTTCCACATCCTTACATTCCAATTTTGAAATGCTTCAAAAGCAATTTGCTGCGTATAGATTTCTGATGAGGCAGATGGTTACATATGCTGATCACACCTACTGACACAGATAGCCAAAATACTAAAGCATAAGGAATCCCATGTAGAGGTTCCAAATAGTATGACAATTTTTGTTTAAAAGTTGGCGGCATCTTGGAGAAACAAAAAACCCCTCCAGTCCACCCCCTCGAATCAACCAAACCCAGACGTGACCTGCAGGCTTTCTCTCCTCCTTGACTCCCCCATTATTGCCAGTTCCCTGGTGGCTATTGGTGAAGGAGATAACTTCATTTTTCTTGCAGTAGAGACTTAACGTTGAACAATTGTCCCCTTTTTTCTTCTCTTTGAAAGACTGTCAAGATTTTTTGAATGTGCTAACTAGCAGAGCTATCTCCAGACTGTTTAATTACAGGTGCTTGAAGCATTTTATTGACGTTGAGTAGAAATACTTATATTAAAAACTTAACACCTGGGTTGCAGTTTTGTATCATGCAGGCTTGCTGTGAAGAAGAGCCAGCACACGACAGGAGTGGCCATCAAAGAAACAGTATTAGAAACTTGAGCAGTTACTGATGCATAAAAAGAAGCAAAGATAGGCAAAAGGGATTAAATTCTGTAGAAGGAGATATGTGAGTGTGTAAAGACCCTATGTGTTCATCACAGGCACAGTATGATCTGTGGAGTGTAGTACCAGAACAGCTTCCAGAAAGACACAGAGTCCCTGAAACCCAAAA